TTGGAGTTTACAACGCCGTCTGCTTACAACGTGTATTGCCATGTTACATATGCCGGGTGCCCTGGTCCCCACAAGCCCAGCTCCCTGGCAGGCACGTGCAGCCAGCAGCGTGGGGTGCAGGGGGTTCTTTATCCAAGAAGGAAGGGGGGGTACAACCCTGTACCGCCCTCCTCCCCCAGTTTCCCGCCTGTATCCTCACAGGAAAAAAGTTGTCTGGTTGATCTAAAGGATCTCAGGAATCTCTGTGTTTAGCCTCAAAAAAAAAAAAAAATTAATACAGTAGGGGGAAAAAGAAATCACAAATGCTGTCCCTTCAACGGGAACCAAAATCAGCACATGGGAAGAGTCACAGACTCACCCAGCAAGTGACAGCTGTCCCAGCGCCCCTCCGAGAGGACAGCGGCCACTGTTCTATAGTCGGCAGGGAGGGGGCGCCTCCAAGATCTCAGGCTGGGATGCGACTCCCAACAGCCACGCTGGCCGGCCTCTGTCTCCCCAGCTGGGGTCACTGGTGGCTTATTCAGAGGCGGCTTTGATATCAAAGGAATGGCTTGTTCAACCCAGAGGTAAGAGTTTGTGAAGAGCAACCCCATGACAGGAGGATGCCCACGTGAAGGCAGCCGCCAGACCAGCCCTTCTCATCAGAACACGCCTGTGAGCCGCCTCCGTCCCGCCGCTTGCAGGCTGACCACCGCTGCCCACAGCGTCACTCCGCTGCCTCGGGGGCCCGAGGGGCACAGACCTGCTTAATGCCACCACCATCTCTCAGATGAGGCCAGGACTTCCAGCAGAAAGGAGCACAGGACTCATTCCACAAAGGACAGAAATCAGTCCTGCAGGAGCAGTTTCTGTGAGTTCAGTCGGGCTGCAGGCTTCCGATACTCTGTTGTAGTATTCCAGGTAGAGTTACAGGGCATTCGAATATGGCACAAATGAGATGTATGGCAGCCAATGAATCAATGGGAAAAGAAAACAGAACTGCGCAGGTTTTACTTTCTTAACATAGTTATAAAATGCTGCCAGCCAAGGCTTTCCAGTCGAGCTTGGTTTGGTATGGAATGTAATCAGTACGCACACCTGTGGCTTACACACGTACAGTCTCATACACACACACACACAAGCTCACACCCCATACATATTGGCTGTGCCCACAACAGTCTCACCGATAAGGAAAATATAAGAAGGAATAATTCAATTACATCTCAGTAAAGAAGGAAAATACTGGGGTGAGGAATCACGACAGTCTCTTTAAAACTCAGCTTCAAAAAGGTTTAATTCTCTTAAATTAAAGACTTCTCTGGTCAGATACCTTAGAGAAGGCTGAGAGCCAGTCAGGCTTCAACATCCAATTATTTTTTGTGCTTCGCAAAATCCACAAAGTGAAAAGGCAGAACACGGGCCAAGGGTTTTGACCTGGGTACGAACTAAAACACACAGCAGTGAAATCTGCTTGGTGATTAGCGATCACTATATATTTTCAGTAAGAAATAAGTTAGTCACAGAGAGAATCCTGTATAAAGGGCCTCCCCGTCCCGCCACCGTCAGGATGCCAACGGCTTGCATGCACTGCTTTCACGTTTCTGACACCATCAACCCCAGCCCGCGTGTGCAGCCCACCCACCTTGAGTTTAAGGGTGATTAAGTACACTTGTAAAATAATGTATTTGGGTTTTCAGCTGTGCTACCTACAGTGTCACATTTAAAACCAGAGAGCCCATCGTTCCTGCATGCAGAGAGGGGCTACAGAGATTCCGGGGCGGGGGGCGGGAAGAGGGGACGAACACCAGCCCTGTGCCCGGGCGTGGGCAGCTCTGAACTCGCGCACCACGGCCGGCCTGCCGGCGGGACCTGGCCAGCGAGACGGCCCCGTGGATGGCCGTCTGCTTCCCTTGGCTGAGTAGGGACCGGGGCATGTGCCATCTCGTCTCCATGTGGTCTCTGCTGGCCACGGGGGAGGCAGAAGCTCTGCTCTCCTCTCCAGACGGACCTGTGAGCGGGCCAATCTTGCCGCTCCGTCCTGGGCCCGGAGCCCCCGCAGAGGGCAGGGCTGGGGGCTCCAGGTGGGACCCGCAAGGCAGGAGTTCGCGTCCCCGTCTCGGCCGGGACGGTGCCGGCCCCAGGGCCCCGGTGGGAAACGCAGCCACAGGGGCGGCGCTCCGCGCCGAGACCCGCGAGCCTCCAGCCCCCAGGTGGACGCCTGCGCCTCCTGGTGTTCGGGAGCAAGAAGGGCGGCGGGGACGGACGGGAACCGCACAGAACCTGGTGTGTGAACGCAGTTCATACCCGTTCCCACCAGCTTTGTGCTCGGGACCCGGAACCGAACGAAAGCAACGCATCCGGTCCCGCGAGAACGGTTTCTGTTTCCGTGTGGACTGGGTGCCCGGTCGAGTCACCCGCCACCAGGGCAGGGAGTTGGGGATCGCCCGCGGTCCCGTCCGGAGCCCGGCGCTCCAGGCCCCCTGCCCGCAGGTGGTAGAACCGGGGGGCTGAATTCAGTCCTGCTTTATTGCAGGTTCAACCCAACACTCGGCTCCATCATTTAGAAAGTGAAGGGTGTGGCCCTGATCCACAGGAGTCCACTGGGTGAGCCTCCCAGCGGCGCCAAATGATCCTATTTTAAGTTTGCAAACTGTGACGTAAGAATTCACGCTGGTGTAGAGGCCGGGGTTCAGCCGAGCCCTTCTCGTCCGTGCTTCCAGCATGGCAGCAGGGGTCCCGCCGCTGAGCGCTCCGCCCCTCTGCTTCCTGCCCGAGCCCCTTGTAGGACCCCAGACCGCATGCAGCGGAGTGGGGTGGGCAGCAAACACCCATCCACCCTTTGAGTTCTTCTCAACCAGGGCCCCTCCTGGCAGCGCACAGGTTACGCCGACCTGGGTGAGCAGAGGGTTCTCACATCCGAGAAGACGGCGCCTGGGCTGGCAGGGCCCCTGGGGCTGGGAGGCTGAGGCTGACGGGGAGAGCGCCCGTCCACTGGGATGGCCGACCCCAAAGACGAAACCACACGCCTGTGACAAGAGAAAGCTGGCACAGCAGATCCGAGGCCCCCAGACATCCGAAGGGGGCTCACCAGCAAGGCTGGGACCTGTCGATGGGGAGGCAGCTCTCGCCCCGATGATTCAGGCCCCAGAGCGGCCACGTGCAGTCTCCACACTAAAGGTGCCACCGAGGAGCCGGATGCCGAGCTGGTTCCGGAGATAGAAGGCGGGGCTGCAGGTGTGGCCGGGCGGACGGGACTGCGGGCCAGCCCCCCATCCTCGCTCAGGGCACCGCGGAGGCCTGGGTTCCAGACCCTTCGCCGAGGGTCCCACTTCATCAGGGACCCAGGACGGACGTGCCGAGGCTCTGGGGAGGGGGAAGCTGACACCATCCTCCCCCTCCCCTCTCACACAGCACTTCACATCGTTGCAATAAGCTGCGTATCTGCAGATTTCTGCTGCAGACGCACCCAGGGCACCTCAGAGCCAACCAGTAGGCAAGTGGCCTGAGGTGTGGGGACTGGCCCCGGTACCAGGGCACTGGAAGCGGGTGGTCAGTTACACTGCTCGACGGCTATGACCCAGGTACACGCACAGCCTGGCACGGACACCGCAGACCCGTCCTCTGCTCAGAGGCCAGGCGGACACGCCGCCGCTGCTCTCCCACTCGCATCCTTCACTGTTGCTGTCTGAAGCATCCAGAACTGACTTTGGCACCATCGACTCCAGGCAAAAGTCCCTTAGAACTTGAATGGCTACGCCTCTTGGTTTGGAATGCAGAGTGTGAGGTATACGAGGTTGTCTGGATTCTGTAGAAATGAGAGGGGAAGCCAGGCACACACTGGAGTCTGTGACCACAGTCTCTCGTCACTCATGCCGAGCCGTTTTGAAAGATGCAAACAGAAAGGCACAGATCACCCTTTAAGTGGGGGCATCACAGCCGGCCGCCTCGCCCCGCCTCTGACTCGGGTGGGCAGGACCCCACGGACAGGGGCAGTCCAGATAAGAACACAATTTGGGTGCCCACCCCACCTGATTTCTGAGCTTTATGGACAAAAGAACACCTACAAATGTCCCTTAGACAAACCCACAGCCCACATATATAGCTGTTCGACAGAAGTTTACAGCCGAGACCAGGCAGTCTGAGTACGTGACATCCCTTGGCTCCAGTGCTCCCAGGCGTCTGTCTTTCAAGCCCATGGGCTGTCAGAAGGAAAGGTGTTCAGTTTTCAGGAAGAACCTCTTTCTCTTATGGAAGCGGGTGGTCAGTTACACTGCTCGACGGCTATGACCCAGGTACACGCACAGCCTGGCACGGACACCGCAGACCCGTCCTCTGCTCAGAGGCCAGGCGGACACGCCGCCGCTGCTCTCCCACTCGCATCCTTCACTGTTGCTGTCTGAAGCATCCAGAACTGACTTTGGCACCATCGACTCCAGGCAAAAGTCCCTTAGAACTTGAATGGCTACGCCTCTTGGTTTGGAATGCAGAGTGTGAGGTATACGAGGTTGTCTGGATTCTGTAGAAATGAGAGGGGAAGCCAGGCACACACTGGAGTCTGTGACCACAGTCTCTCGTCACTCATGCCGAGCCGTTTTGAAAGATGCAAACAGAAAGGCACAGATCACCCTTTAAGTGGGGGCATCACAGCCGGCCACCTCGCCCCGCCTCTGACTCGGGTGGGCAGGACCCCACGGACAGGGGCAGTCCAGGTAAGAACACAATTTGGGTGCCCATCCCACCTGATTTCTGAGCTTTATGGACAAAAGAACACCTACAAATGTCCCTTAGACAAACCCACAGCCCACATATATAGCTGTTCGACAGGAAGTTTACAGCCGAGACCAGGCAGTCTGAGTACGTGACATCCCTTGGCTCCAGTGCTCCCAGGCGTCTGTCTTTCAAGCCCATGGGCTGTCAGAAGGAAAGGTGTTCAGTTTTCAGGAAGAACCTCTTTCTCTTAACACCGACCCGGAAAACAAGACTAGAAACGGGAGTCTACCGCAGAAGAAATCCCAGAAGAATCCAATTTGGAAAGAATTTAATTAACAAAATAAAATGGGGAGGGGGGGAGAAATGGTCCCGGAGGGGCTCCAGGGAGAGAGGACCCCCCAAGGCCGCCGCCCGGCCCGCCTGAGCAGGACCAGACGCGTGCTTGCCGCGCCGCCTTCTCGGCCCTCGCCTCTCTGTACAGACGGAAAACCCCAGACGCCTGCAGGCTGTTACGAGCGGGCTTGAGAGCTCCTGGCTGGCTTGGCACATGAATACATGCAAAGCAAAAGTGTTTCGAGGGCTTCACCAAACAGTTGATTTTGGCAAAAAAAGAGAAAACCAACGAAAAGCTAAAAATTCATAAGCAGGATTAAAAGCCACTGAAGTGAAAACAATGTATTTCTCAACAGTATGGAATGAGCCTACAGCTACAATCTTTTTTTTCCTTTTTGCTTTAGAAGTCTCTGCCATTCTCTCCCCAGCTCGGGTCAAAGTTCATAGCAGCATGACTGTGAAGTCCTCTGTCAGCCAGTGTCCTCTGCCTCGGGGCCAAGGAGGTCACAGGTCGCGGTCAGTCCGTCCGCAGAATCATGGGGGGGTGCTCGCTGTCGTCCTCCAGCCGCAGGGCGCTGGCCTCGTCCTCCAGCCCCGAGCCGCCCGCGGCGCCCAGCTCGTCCGTGTAGGCTGCGGAGAGAGCGGCGCCTTAGGCAGGCCGAGCCCCCCGAGCCGGCCCCTCGGGGAGGCCGACGCCCCCCCAACCGTGGGCAGCCCCCACAGGCAGGCCGAGCCCCCACCCGAGCCGGCCCCTCGGGGAGGCCGACCCTGAAGCAGGACCCGGGCCAGCAGGGAGCTCACGCCCACAGGACGTGGAATTCTCACCTCTGCCCTGACCAGCGAGCTCTCTACAGCCCTGAGCCACCCAAGAGAGAGCTGCCTTCCCAAGACCCACAGGGTCAGGAAGGAGCTGGGCGCCCACGTGGACCCAGGGGACAGGCTGTGGAGGGCCCTCCGGGGTGGGGTGGGAGTGCCCAGAACCGGGACAAGGATGCTCAGAGCCTCCTTGGAGCACACGCTGCCTTCGCCTCGGGTTGAAACAGTGAGCGAGAGTGCGGCGGGCGGAGCCAGCGACCACACATGCCCGGGGTGGGGCCCAGGGCGGCCTGGGGGAGCCGGCCCCCTCCTGCCTGGGCCTGCTTGCTGACCCGGGCCGCAGGTGGGAGGGTCAAGACCAAGGGTTTTGGGCAGAATCTGAGCTGAGTGGGGGCAGGTGGTGGACAGTCCACAGGCACCTAGCGCCAGAGAGCTACTTTTGTCTCAAAGATGAAAATGGACTCAGCCTCGAGGAGGCCTTTGAAACCCTGCTTTACAACAGCAGGCCTGAGCCTGCAGGCCCCGCCCCCAGGCTCGGCCCAGCCCTTACCCAGCGCTGTGGGGGACAAAGGTGCGTGCGGGCCCTTGGCCACGGCTGCGCTGTACGCCTGTGTCACCAGGGGGCAGTCCTGGGACGTGGAGTCCAGGATCTCGTTGGTTGTCTCCATGCTGCCGTCCAACCTGGACGAGGACAGAAAAACCAGCAGGGACAAGTCAGGACTATGCTGGGGCCGCCAGGGAGGGCCACGCGTGACGCTGCGCTGACCCGCGCGATGACTCCCCCGAGTGTGGTCCCCAGGATTTCCACACGCTCAGTCTGATGGAGAGAGCTGGACCTAGAGAGGCAACCCCACTGCGTTTCCTGAGACTGAAGACCAAACCAGAGTATGCTGTAAAATAACAAAATCACCCCCATGTTCGCCCTGATTGTAAGAGTATTAGGGTACCACTGTTTAAAGACAGAAAACCCAACAGCACTACCTCCCAATTAACTAACATTTATTCCTTCTCTTCAAAGAGAACAGCAGCGTCTCAGCAGGATCCCAGGTCCCTGGAGAACCCGCCCCACATCACAGACAGCACCCTGGGGTTGCTGCTTCTGTGCACGACGCTGAGCTGCGTCCTCAGCAGTCCTGCCCCGAGGCACACCCCCCCACCCCACAGGAAAAGTGCACCCCAGCCACTCTGGTCTCTGCCGGGTGCTGAGCTGGGCAGGGGCAGAGGCATGGAGGGTAGGCTCACACCCACACCGATGGGTGGTTGTGCAGAGACCCGAGCCTCTGGGTCCCTGGCTTTGGGAAAACGAGCAAGTCGCCCTTGCCCTCAGGGGCCCCCTCCCGCCTGGCGGAGGCGCAGCCAACTCACTGGTGCTGCTTCATGAGGGTGCATTCGCCACCTTCCTGGGGGTCCAGGTTGTACATGTACAGGTACCCGTCCGAGGCGCCCACCAGCAATCGGGGAATCTTCTGGATTCTAGTGAGGATAAAAAGCAACCAAGTTCTAGATCTGAAACTTCCACAAAGTTCCTATTAAACTAACAGCCTGGCCTTTAGCCGGGCCAGGGAAGAACGCCCCGCCCCAAATGAGCGAGTGTAGTTTCGTGCACACACATAGTCCACACACGAAGATAAACAGCCTCGGGCCTCGTGAGGCTGCCCGTGCTGGAGGCCAGGGCTCAGGAACTGGCCCTCTCACGCGGTTCTGAACTAACGATGCTCTCCAAATGTTCCCAGCAACAACGGGAAGAGGAGGCGTGGAGGGTCAGACGCTGTGGGGGCGGGCACCTGGGTTCCCTAACAGCGTACAACCTACGGCCCCCTCCGTGTCCCCATGACTCTGGTCTAAACCAGAGGGCCAGGTGTGCAGGTCATCCCTGGTGGCCTGGGACCCCGCTCCCGGCTGAATGCATGGGACAGAGGCAGCCCCCCGCCCCAACTCACGTGGCCAGCGCACAGATGTTCTTGTGGCCACAGAAAGGCAGGCGCACCGTGGCGAAGGCCCTGCCCTGGTTGAACATCTCTGTCACTTGGGAGGGCAAGTAGCTGGTGGACGCCATGAGCACCTTCCCGAAGTAGCCGGTCCAGGTGGTGGGCTCCTCCTGAGGCCTGGGAGGAGGAGCGCCGTCAGACACACGCGGGCCCTGGGCTGAGAACGACCACGCGCCCCTCACGCGGAGGCGAGGCTCAGCCCCGAGACTCGAGAGAAGGCTCCCAGGCTCGCGGGGACCCTGGGGACGTCACAGACTGTCCTTGGAAGGTCCGCAGAGGGGCCAGGCAACGACCAGCCCCTGCTCTGTTGCTGACGACTCGAGGCCCACGTCCAGGACCCCCGCATCTTTCTATTAGGACGTCTCCAGCCAACCGTGCACTCCCGCAGCCCATCCCTGCTGTGTTTACACTGTAGAGACGTGTGAGTCACCCCACAGGCCCCTCAGGGTGAGACACAGCACAGACAACAGCACTGATCCTGGTGGGAGGCTTGCCAGAGACGCTAAGAGATGACAACGCAGAACCACGCCCTTTGCCCCACACACGGCTGCAGTCACATGCTCTTTACATCAACCGCTGCACAAACGGAAAACGCCTCTGGGCAGGAGGGAGGCAAGTGCCCCCACCCCCAGGGTGGTCCCCCAAGACGTGCCATGGGGGGAAGCATTGGGGGCAACCACCCTCTGCCGCCACACCCAGCAGGCCCCCTTCGAACCCCACTCATCCCACCACTGAGCCCCCACGAGCCCCCCGGACAGCATTCCCGCTTCCGCCTGTCGGTGGACAGAGGGCCCCGTGTCCCTCTCAACGTCTCTGCGACTCACTTTTCTTTCACAGTCTCGAGTTTGAAGATGTGCACAGTCTCAGTGTTGCTGGAGGCGGACAGGAACATGCCATCCATGCTGAAGGCCAGGGAGCAGATGCTCACACACCTGGGGTGAGAGGGACGGGGTCGGTCACGCTGCTGCCCGGACGCGGAGGGCAGACGGCAACCAGCATCGCCGCCCCCTCTGGAAGGGAAGTCACAGCGAAGGAAGGTTCCCGTGACAGGTGCAGGAGGGTCTTGTTCCTTTCTAGTCACCTTCTCAAACCATGTGAGGAAGGAGAGCGTTTGAAAGCTGATGCCCTGACTGAGCCGTCCTTTAACAGGTCCTCACGTGGCCACGTAACGAAAGGAATCAGGGCTTCGCTAAATCATTTTTGACAGAATCAGGCTAGACTTACAGCACTAAGCTTAGCAAAAGAAACCTAATCATTGAGATTACAGCAATTCTTAACATGGAAAAGCATGAACTGGAGACCTTGGTAACGTTTAAGAATAAACTTCTGACATCCTGAAACCAGTTCTCCTTAAAACATCACTGTAGAAACCCAGCACCTGCGTTTCCTCAGAGTCCTGCAACCACAAGGTGCACTGAGCCCTGTCCCTGGGGAGGGGCTCTGCATCACGTTTCTGGAGCTCACAGCGCACGGGCATGTGCGAAGGTGCGGACGTGGCTCCCGCCTAGAGGCGGGGGCCCAGGGCTCAGCGTGGCCAAGAGAGGTCTGAGCAGCTAAGGGAAGACGCTGCAGACACTGGGGGAGAGGCGGGAGGGGGCGCTCGACCAGCGGGAGGGCGCAGGAACCGACAGGTCACGGCCAGGGCCCACGTGGAGACAGCTCTGAGGAGCTGGGAGAGATGGGGCAGGGAGGCGCACCACAGCAGGAAAGCAAGGAGTCCTGCGTGTGGCGTGAACCCAGGGACAGGGGTGCCCCAAGAGGCTCCCCGCAGGGCTGCCCCCATCTGTCACACTCCCCCGTGGAAGAACAGCCAGTAGGCTCAGGCCTGAGGGCCAGAACCTGGCAAACATGAGCTGAGGCCACGGTGAGCGCAAGGCCAGGTGGAGATGCCTGGGGCAGGCGAGGTGGGTGGTGGGGCGGGCGCCCCCCAGGTTCACGTGCCAGGAGGGCAGGGCTGTTCCCTGGGACACGCTGTGTGCAGCACGGTGGGCCGTCGGGGCCATGCTCTGGCCACTGGGTGGAGGGCCCAGTAGGCGGGAGAAACGTGGGAAACCTCGGCAGGTGGCCTGGGGACATGGAGGCATCCCTGGGCACAGACAGACGCCGTGGCTGAGGACGGAGGGGTGGGCTGCCCAGAGCGGGGCCGGGGAGGCTCAGGGCAGAAATGCAGACACAGGGGTGGGAGCAGCAAAAGAAAAGACCCGGACAGGCGAGCGCGAGGAAAAGCAAAGGAAAAAGGAAGGAGAGAGACAGGAGGCAGGGGACAGGGAGGCCGGCAGCCCGAGATCGCCCGTGGGAGCCCTGGAGAAGGCGGCTCCAGGTCCCACGGGTCAGGCCCCACCAGGCAGGGATGTGGACGTCATGACACAGGGTGGCTGCACTCTGCTGTTTCTTTAGAAAAACACTGTGAGGCCAGAGCCAGCTGCTGGTCGGAGGGGGGCTGCAGGAGCTGCTTAAGGGTTTTCAGAGTCGAGGAGAAGGGGAGGAGCTGCTGCCCAGGTCAAGAGCCCCAGCGCCCACTCAGCGCGGGCCCAGCTGGGCAAGCTCCTCCTTCCACAGCCCGGGCTATTGGGCCATGCAGCTCGGCACTCAGGGCAATCACAAACAGCAAAACACAGCTGCCTCCGTAACAATGCCCCTTGACCTCCCACAAGACCCCAAGCCCCTCCTGCCCCGCCAGCTGGGCTGAGATTGCTGGCGGCTGGACGGGGGTCCCCAGGGCTTAAGTGCCCACTGCTGGTCACAGAGAACGTGAAACCGAATTGCAAACAGATGCTCCAGATTCCATTCTGGAGACTTGCACACATTACCTCTTCACTCCTCTCCGGAACTCAAAGAGTTTCTGTCCTTCTGGAATGGAAAACACCCTAATCACGGTCCCCTGCAGCAGGGAGAAGAAGACAGAAAAAGGAAGTTGAGCTGAGTGGAGCCAGACTCAGGTCTCTCGCTCTTTGGACGTTGGCGGACGGGCGCCGACAGCTGTCCCAGCCACATGACCCCGAGTCCTGCACCCCGTCCCTCGCCCGCACCGTCGGAGTACATCCTGCTCCGCTGGTCCCACGGTGAGACACCGTCACTGCTCATCCTAACACTGAGGGCCCTGCAGTCACAGCTGCGGCGCTCCCCGGCAGGACGGCTAGCACACCCCGGCCCAGCATGCTTCAGCCACCGCGCTTGCTCGGCTCAGGCGCCTGTGGCTGCGGGCACACGGGCCTGGCTGTGAGCGGTGGGGACAGACATCGCTCTGGGGGCCGGGCTGTGTGAACTGCGGTGGACGAGCCGGCGGGACTCCGAGTCTGCACGCAGCTGCCTTACCTTCTCGGAAGCAGTGGCGAGTTTGGTTCCGCTGGCATCGAAGGCCAGGGCGGCTAACGGGCTGTCGTGAGCCGGGATCATGTTCGCAGCTCTCTGGAGGGGAGGGGAAAGTGACCCGTGACCACTGTGACTGCGAGTGACCCCTGATGCCCGTGAAGTCATGTGGTGAGAATGCCCACAGCTGTTATGAAAACCCCTGCGTGGCTGACACAGACGCCAAGTCCACCCGATTAACCAGGGGCTGGGGAAGGGGCACGGAAATGCCACCCAGAGCCTTAAAGGAGAAAGCGAAGCAACGTCCCCACAGAGGCTCTGTCGCTTCCTCCGTTCCCTCCGGCACACAGGCTGCCGACTGCTCAGCACGGGGACGGGGACGGGGACGGAAGCACAGCTGGAGGCAGGGTGACCCAAGCCGCTCGGCCAGCAGGAGGCTGCGTCGGGAGTCGAGCCGCCGAGCCGGAGAACGAGGAGGCCGGGGGCGCCGCGCCGCGGCCAGGAGCCTCACCAGGTTGATGGTGTCGAAGACCTGCACCTCCCCGATGGTGGCGCTGCCCGGGTAGGCCAGGTAACAGTTGTCATTGCTGATGGACAGCGCACACAGGCCTGTGGGCGGCACACGAGGACAGAGCGGGTCAGCTCGGGGCCCCTGGGCTCCACCAGCAGCTGGCACGCGCTCAGCGAGACGGGGAGGCCACGAGCTCTGATGCGTCCTGGGTGGCCGCATCGCTGGGCCTGTTGAGTTCCAAGCCCCCCCACGCCCCGCAGGTGACAGCAGGACTGCTCAGATGCACTAAGGCCATGGCTGGAGCTGATCAGAAACCCCAAGGCTGCAGGCTGACAGAGCCCATGACGTGTGCGGTCATGAGACCAGCATCAGAAGGATGGCAGCTGGCTCTAAGAGCACACTGTCAGCCTGTGGACCCTAAGAAGAGAGAAAACTCTCACGGGCAGAGAGCTCTGAACGGCAGCGGTGCCCCGCCCTGCTCACCAGTGGGGTTTGGGGGCGTCTCTCGGATGGTGTGCAGCACCTTCATGTCCCGGATGTTGTGAATGTAGAGAGACTCCTCCAGGCACACGATCAGCCTCTGCGAGAGACGCGGACACGGAGACAGGATGTGAGGGAGAGCCAGACCCCGAGCCCCAGTTAGCTTCCGCCCCCATGCCCCTCAGTCCCCTGGAGCTGAGCCCCCGCCTACAACTCCCTCCTCCGGTTGGAGAAGACCTCTAACTGTGCGGAGTAATTGAGCATGACAGAAAGTGGTCCCTAGCTAAGAAAACTGGGGTCTGATTTTGTTTCGCTCTCGGCCCTCCCCTCACGAAAACCAGGTCGAGAGGCTGGGGTCACTCTGGTGAAGGCCTGCTGCTTTGAGAATCTGATGCTGAGTGAGGCTGAGTAAACCACAGCCACGTGGCCATCCCGGGCCCTACCTCAGGTCCTGGCCACCAGGCCCACGCTTCAGGCCAGACATCCTTGTGGGTTTTGGGACATAAACCAGACATAAAAAGGTAGTAAATCCTTCACCTTTAGTTAAAAGTTAAATTAACAGTTAAAAAAGGGATAAAGAATTCCTTGGCAGCCCTGTGGTCAGGTCTCTGCTTTCACTGCTAAGGCCTGGGTTCAATCGCCAGTCAGGGAACTAAGATCTCATAAGCCAAACAGCATGGAAAGAAAAAAAGATGCTCAGAGGTTTTTTAAAAAGGTAACTCTTATAAAAAAAGGTTCATGTCTTAAGGGATGGGTAAAGCTAATGGCACTAGCTAGGGCATCATCAGGAATGGGGCAGGGGGCGGGCCGCAGTCTGAGCAAAACCGCTGAGAGGAGCGAGCAGACCCGAGCCTGGGCGGGCTGTGAGAGGAACAGAGCGGCTGGGATCTGCCCGAGGCCCGGCAGCTGCCTCCCAGGTCACTGGAACAGCCTCGCAGCCCAGAGCCCCCCGGGAAACCCGGGCCCCGGGGCGGTGAGCGGGAGCGCCGCCCACCTGCCTGTTGAGCTTCACGGCCAGGATGGTGTTGGAGTAGCTGTAGTTGCAGATCTCGGTCCCCTTCTTAAAGTGGCAAACCTTCAGCTTCCTGGGAGCCTTGAGGCTGACGATGGCCACCAGGCTGCTCGAGAACAGTCTCTCCACGATGCACACGTCTTCTGTGTCAGCTGAAAGGAGGGAGAAAACAAACCCACGTGAGCGTGTATCCCTGTCAACTGGTGCCAGGGGTCCCCGCACATGAACATGCGTCTAAGGGTAGGCTCCCTGCGGAGACTCGGGGGCAGGGGGCAGACCCCCAGGTCAAGTTCATGGTTTACAGGGCCCAGGCGAGCTGCCCGCAGGTCGCCCCACACTCTGAAAGGAGGGCCTGCTCCTCAGAGAGCCCCAGCTCTCAGCCATAGCGCAGGCCCCCCATTCCACATGGGCCGCACCTGACATACGACAGGCCCCCACGCGCTCCTGCGGGCTCCACGCCTGGGGCTCCGGGCTTACGGACCCCAGCGTGGTCTGCTCTCCACCCCTTAGGTCCCTGCGCCCCACTCACATGGGGTGGCAGACCCCCAGGTCAAGTTCATGGTTTACAGGGCCCAGGCGAGCTGCCCGCAGGTCGCCCCACACTCTGAAAGGAGGGCCTGCTCCTCAGAGACCCCCAGCTCTCAGCCCTGCGGAGACTCGGGGGCAGGGGGCAGACCCCCAGGTCAAGTTCATGGTTTACAAGGCCCAGGCGAGCTGCCCGCAGGTCGCCCCACACTCTGAAAGGAGGGCCTGCTCCTCAGAGACCCCCAGCTCTCAGCCATAGGGCAGGCCCCCCATTCCACATGGGCCGCACCTGACATACGACAGGCCCCCACGTGCTCCTGCGGGCTCCACGCCTGGGGCTCCGGGCTTACGGACCCCAGCGTGGTCTGCTCTCCACCCCTTAGGTCCCTGCGCCCCACTCACATGGGGACACCCCCACTCAGAAGACTGTGCCTAGAAACTGCATGTGCAGAGACCCACCCAGAAAACAGGGGCACAGTGGACGCTCCACAGCTGCCACCTCACCCCCAGCTCCCTCAGTCCCCACTGGGTTTACTTGTGGTCACCGGGGTCAGTTCAGGGGAGGAGCAAAGAGCATTCTGGAGGGCAGGACTCTGGATGATTCCCAGCTGTCTGGACCTGAGCTGCAGCTGAGCTGGGGTTAAGCAGCGGCCCGCTGATCGTCCTAACAATGGCCCAAGGCCACATTTTACTCCATGAGGTCCTGAGCTCAGAGGACAGAGAACTAGATGGGTCACAACCCGGGGACCTGCAGGGCCTGAGTGCACTGTGACCAGGCGTGCCCATACCCAAGACCGACGGCTCCTTCCAACAAGCCCTGTCACTAAATTCCATGCTTTTAACTGAAAAACACATGTAAGTTTAGAAACCAAATGACTAAAGTGAACAAGTAAGCTCCAAAGGTCCCCATATTAAGGCAGGAATTCTTTCCAGGAAAATGCAGTGGCCTGGGTCATCGCCATGTGGGTTTGAACTCTGACGTGCCTGGCATGGGGCCCATCCAGGGGGAGTCAGCCCAAGACGACACGACACACACCTGTGGGAATAAGACTAAGGTTTTGCTATTATGTGGAATGGGACGGGCAGTAAAGTCAAGCTCCTGGAGAACAGGCAAAACCAAGCCATAGCAGGAAACCCAGAACACGGCCTGCCTCCTGGGGGTGCGGTGAGGGAGCTTCCTGGGGTGATGGTGAACCCTGATGGGAGTCCAGCTCACACAGATGTACACGCACTAGTCAGACACGGGATGTTTCCTCCAGATGTGTGTGTATACAGACTGTGTACAGACAGCTGTCTGCAAGGTGCTCTGAAGTGCAGACACACAAGACGGACAGGCAAGTTCAACGGTCACAACAGACTCCAGATCCTTGGGACATGGGTACTGACTATAAAATACTTTCAATTTTTCTGTGTGTGTGAAAACTTCCATGAACAAAACAGTGAGAAAAGGAAAGGGATGAATCATTCATTTGCTTAAACCAAGGGCAGAAAAGTAAAGAAACATTGGCTTTAGGTGTCTGTCTAGCTTCCCACCCCACTCTAAGTTTGAGAATTCTTGAAACTTTCATGAGAAAAAGCATAAGAAACTTCTTTCTAGCATTTTAACAACAGGGGAAGCGTGGTGTGGAGGCAGCCAAGCTGTTTTTAGCTGCAAACATTCCTAAGAGCAAACACTGTGACGAAGCTCCAAATACCCAGGACCTAGACTCACAAATGTCATCCTTCTGCCGTTTGGCCTCAACCATCCTTTTCTTGGCTGACTTTTCAATGAGAGGCTCATCATCTTGACATTCCCGCTAAACAAACAAAGACACAGGAAAAATGTCTTGCTGTCTGCAAGGTGCTCTGAAGTGCAGACACACAAGACGGACAGGCAAGTTCAACGGTCACAACAGACTCCAGATCCTTGGGACATGGGTACTGACTATAAAATACTTTCAATTTTTCTGTGTGTGTGAAAACTTCCATGAACAAAACAGTGAGAAAAGGAAAGGGATGAATCATTCATTTGCTTAAACCAAGGGCAGAAAAGTAAAGAAACATTGGCTTTAGGTGTCTGTCTAGCTTCCCACCCCACTCTAAGTTTGAGAATTCTTGAAACTTTCATGAGAAAAAGCATAAGAAACTTCTTTCTAGCATTTTAACAACAGGGGAAGCGTGGTGTGGAGGCAGCCAAGCTGTTTTTAGCTGCAAACATTCCTAAGAGCAAACACTGTGACGAAGCTCCAAATACCCAGGACCTAGACTCACAAATGTCATCCTTCTGCCGTTTGGCCTCAACCATCCTTTTCTTGGCTGACTTTTCAATGAGAGGCTCATCATCTTGACATTCCCGCTAAACAAACGAAGACACAGGAAAAATGTCTTTTCCAGCTCATGAAAAAAGTGGAAAATTTCTTACATCAAAATCAGCTGAGAGTGGATCAGGTATTTAATGTAAAACCCGAAGCCACAGAACCGAAGGAAGACGTGCGAGAGTGCTTATGCACCCAAAACAGGGAGGACCCTGAAAGCTCAAGAGCAGGGCTGGGAACAAAACATCAAGGAGGGCGAACAGACCACGAGAGGTGAAGAGGCAAACGGCCCAGAAGGAGCATTCGCAACCTCCACCAAGTGGCTCCTGCGCCTTCAAGCAGGAGGAGAAATGATCCAGCAGAAAGAGCAGGAAAATCTCAGAAACGTGCGAAGGACAATGACTTCTGGAATAAAGTTTCATTTCAGTTATGATTTAAGAAATGCAAAAAAGACAAAAAAACATTAAAAAAACCCTCAGGCTCATAAATCCACATCCACATCATAACCTGCACACAAACACTCACAGCAGCCAAAGGGAAACAACACCAAAATGATGGCACATCCATTGCTTGTCCATCAGCAAACACAGCACATCCACACCCTGTGATGTCACTAAGCAAGAAAAAGGAAGCGCTCATCCACGCTCCAGCATGGCAGAGCCATGAAACCATCCACGTGAAGGAAGCCAGGCCCACGCCATTCCATTTATCTGAAACTTCCAGAGCAGCAAATCGACAGCGGCAGAAAGGAGATTAGCGGTTGCTCAGGGCTGAGGGGTGAGGGAGAGGGGAGCAGTCACCCTGCTGCTAATGGCCTCAGGGGTTCTTTGGGGAGTGATAACAATGTTTTAAAATTAGATTAAGGTAGGTTGCACAAACCAGTAAATATACTGGAACCTGCTGAACTGTACACTTTAAACAGGTGGTTTTTTATTGGCATCCAAATTACATCTCAAAAAAGCTATTAAAAAACCGCACAGGCAGACTACCGCATCCATGTGAATTCTGACCAGTGTGCTGAGACCTGATGTGGCGAGCACAGGGCGGTGCGCAAGAGTGACGGACAGACAGACGGGGCAGCAGCCCAGTGTCGGGGAGGGCGGAGGGCCCTCACCACGACCCTCTCCCTGGGGTGACCCGCGGCCCTGGACCGGGAGCTCACACGGGCTTCCACAGGCTCTCAAACTGCTGAAATCACACGCTAAGCATTGGGTTTTTCTCTGGGAAGTACCCGCAACTTCCATCAGATTTCCAAAGGAGCCAGAAAAATCAGAGAACGGCCAAGGCTGCCTGCAAAGGGCAGAGGAACCGCCAACCACCAAAAGGGCCACGTGCTTTCGTCTCTGCTTCAGCAAAAACCAACCAAGAGGACCCCACCCCTTCAGCCTAGGACACAGTCTGCCTGGACCTTTCAGGAACACACCTTCACAAAGTGACCTACCTTTATACACTGCCAAGTTCACACACTGCCTGCGGTTCACTGCCCGTGGTTCACACCCTGCTTGTTGGTCACACCCTGCTCATGGTTCACNGCCACGTGCTTTCGTCTCTGCTTCAGCAAAAACCAACCAAGAGGACCCCACCCCTTCAGCCTAGGACACAGTCTGCCTGGACCTTTCAGGAACACACCTTCACAAAGTGACCTACCTTTATACACTGCCAAGTTCACACACTGCCTGCGGTTCACTGCCCGTGGTTCACACCCTGCTTGTTGGTCACACCCTGCTCATGGTTCACTGCTCATGGTTTACACCCTGCTTGTGCGTCACACACTGCCCACGGTTCACACCCTGCTCGGGGTTCACACACTGCCAGGTTCACTGCTCATGGTTCACACACTGCTCGTGGTTCGGTTCACACACTGCTCGTGGTTCACACCCTGCCCATGGTTCACACGCTGCTTGTGGGTCACACCTTGCTGATGGTTCACACACTGCCTGTAGTTCACACGCTGCTTGTGGGTCACACCTTGCCCGTGGTTCACACACTGCCTGCGGTTCACTGCCCGTGGTTCACACCCTGCTTGTTGGTCACACCCTGCTCGTGGTTCACTGCTCATGGTTTGTCCCTGCCCGGCCTGTCCAGGACGCCAGGGTCTCAGAGGACACATGCGTGTGCAGCCCACCTGGTCCTCACCACGAAAGATGCAGGCAGAGAGGGTCCTGGGCTGCCCCGCTGGAAGCCCCATCATGGCACACCTCACTGAGCAGACTGTTCCAGCCAGCGCCCAGTCTGCCCATTCTGGACCGGGACGGGCAGCCTGCTTTTGTTTCGTTTCCAAACCGAAGGCCTCGTGAGGTTTGAGGTCCTAGCTCAGAAACATAAAATGCAAAGATGACACAGGACACAGAATCTGAAAAGGCCAACTTTTCCTTCCAAACTTCCATGGCATTTTACAAACAATACAACGTCGAATCTGAAAAGGCCAATTTTTCCTTCCAAACTGCTGTGGCATTTTACAAACAATAAATCTACAACCTTTATTTATATTGTCTACCAGGGTACAGTTTCATGGCAGTAGTGTTTCAGGGAAGAGAGACCACATATTTGCACATCACACACCCTCAGGTAAATAGAAAAGGACACAAGAGGGAAAGAGAGAGCGATTAAACAAACAGGGCACACACAGTGGGCAAGGCGTAAACACGGGAGTTCCTGCAACTTTAAGTCTGAAAGAACAGCATAGAGTTAAAAGCAAGTCTTCCAGTGCTGCTGGGCAAAGGTCTTGTTTTTTTGTTGTTGTTAAATAAACAACAGAACAAGCAGTGGTCAATCTTGCTTTTCCCAAGACCAGCTCTGGCTCATTCTTTCTGTGGCAGCAACAGTCACCAACAGCGAGGATCTGAACTTATGACGGTCAGTCAAGAGTCACGGTCTACTGAGCCAGGCTGAGTCTGGAGCAGTAATTCTACTCTGCTCAGGTTCTATGTGCAGAAAAATGCCAGAAAACCATCTTGGTGCAGTAGCTAATTTGTTTCCTAAGAGACATTCTTTTTATCTACTTAATAAAAGAATATGAACGAGGAAAGGTAGATAATATTCTAGGAGCAAAAGAATTCCACAGCTTCAGTGCATTAACCCTCAGAGTTCTCTGTGCGTTCCCTCACCTATTTTAAGGGCCAAAGTTCACCAAGAAGAACAAAGAAATCTCTATACCACTTTGCCACGCTGGGCAGTATACACCCACTCTTCTGATGATGCCATCAAGACATTACATCTGGGGGACTTCTCTGGTGGCCCAGTGGTTAAGGCTCCAGGCTCCCAAATCAGGGGGCCCAGGTGTGATCCCTGGGCAGGGAATGAGATCCCACAGGCTGCGACTAAGAGAGCCCATGCCACAGCTAAGGCCTGGAGCAGCCAAAAAAAAAAAAAAAAGCATCACATTTTATTCCAACAAAAACCTTTGAAAAATAAGGTGCCACAGTGGTTAAGGCTCCAGGCTCCCAAATCAGGGGTAATAAGGTGCCAAAAATCACTTAATAAACTTCAAGGAAACACATTAGTCACTGAATGGATTCAATCTGAGGAAGAGCCAAGACCCTTTCTAAGCACAACGGGTGGGGGTGGGGTGCGGAATCCTGTCCATTTCAAACCAGATGACTAATCCCTGCAGCCACAATTTAACAGCACAACTCGGCACTGGTGGGGACGCAGATTTAATAAATGCTTCAGTCATTTGAAAAGCCTAGTAGAATCCTTTCTCCTGTGAAGAAACTCCCTACAGGAAACGATCGTGAGTGGGGCGGCCAGTGTGGAGATGAGCAAGCGCTCGGGCTCGGACACACTTCATCACCTAGACCGCACCCGCCGGCCCTGCACAGGGAGAAAGGCTTTCGGAGGAGATCTGGTAAGCGTCAGACAGATGAGGAGTCAAGTCCGTGGCAGGAGCCGTGAGTCAGGGACCCGCACTCGAAGAGTCCCGCTTCCAGCTGTCTCCTCATGAAGGGCCCAGATCCCAGCCTCCGGGGGCGTCCTGGGGGTTCAGACACCTCCCACTGCTGGAGGTGAGGGGTGCCCGAGGCGGACCCGAGAGGGGAGGCCAGGGCCTGGAGGGAGCCTGGTGAGCCTGGGACCCCGGTGGGCACGAGAACTCTGCCGCTGCAAGCACCAGGTACACGGAAGTGACTTTTCTCCTGCGGGCCTTGCCTTGTGCTAACGGAGGTGGGCGGTGGGATTTACATCTGTGTTTGCTCCACACTGTGTCCCCGGCCTGGCATCTGACACAAGCACATTTGCTCGCTCCTGGTCTGCCTCCATTTAAACAGAGGGTCACGAGAGCAGGAACTGTCACTGCTGCGTCTCCACGGCCGGAACAGGGCTGGCACACGGCAGGTCCTCGGTGAACGTTTATGGAGTGAACGAAACCAAGAGTGGACACGGGATGTCTCTTCACAACCACTCACTGAAACTCCCCCTTCGTAAGGGACACTAATGGGTAAAGGAGCATTCCAAAAGGGAATACCAAACCACGGTGGACGCAAAGTCGCTAACCGTGGAACATTCCAGAAGCAGATACTGGCATTGTTAATACGGAGAAAACCCAATTTCCCCAACTGCATGCCCATGTGGATAATTAAAATGATAAAGAGCAAACCTCTCTCTGAATTCATACCCCAGAGTGACGGATTATGAGCATACTGACCTCAGTTCTCTGTAAAGAGAATTCTTAATGAGGTCAGGCCACAGGCAGGCTTCAGAGTTATCATCATGTGAAGAGAAGCTATTTATGAACCACATACATGAGAAAGGACTAGCATCGAGGGTATATAAAGAACTTTCAAAACTCAGCATCACAAAGTGGGCCAACACAAATAAGCACATGAAAAGATGTTCAACGTCATTAGCCGTCACGGAACACAAAGTGAAGCAGAGTGAGACGGCAGCGCACAGCTCCACCAGGACGGCCAAAACGAGACACGCCGGCCACACCCAGGGCGAGCAAGGATTCCAAGGGGCGGGCTCACCCATACACTACAGGCAGGAATGCAAACCGGCGCAGCCTCCCTGGAAAACAGCTCGGCACTTAAAAAAAAACCCCCACACCACCATAGCAGTCAGCAATCACACTTAGACATCAATCCCAGAGCAGTGATGTCACACCACACGAGACCCGGCAGCTCTAACAGCCCAAGACTGGAATCAGCCCATGAGTGCTCTGCCAGGCGATTCATTCTGGTGAGCCATGGTGTTCCACTTTGCAGTTCTCCTCTGCCTGCTAATGTCTCTTAGGAAGGGGGAGTTTCAGGTGCAGGAGAAGCAGCTGGGCTGAGACCGCATACAGAATTCCAGCAACAGAAAAGGTGGTGCTATCGACACCGAGCAGCTTGGGTGAACTTCCAGGGAAAGACTCTGAGCGAAAACAGCCAGTTCTCAAAAGGTCTGCTGTTGTTTAGTCGCCAAGTCACGTCCGACACTTTTGTGACCCCATGGACCGTCAGGGCTCCGAGGGATTTCCCAGGCAAGAACAGCAGAGTGTGTTGCCATTTCCTCCTCCAGGGGATCTTTCCCACCCATGGATCGAACCCACGTCTCCTACGTCTCCTGTGTTGGCAGGCAGGTTCCTCACCGCTGAGCCACCAGAGAAACCCCTCAAAAAGCTACATACTTCCATTGATGTAACATTTGCGAAATGACAGTCACTCTGGAATCAGAGGACAGGTTCCTGGCTGCCTGGGATCTGTGACTAGGGTGGGGGTAGACAGGTGTGGTTACGAAAGGGCAACGGAAGTACCCTGTGCTGTTAGAACCATCGGGCAGCTTCACTGTGGTGGATATGGGTGTTCAGGCTGGGTGGGGCCACACACACGCACACACACTCTGACAACACGCGTGTGCGCGCGCGCACACACACACACACAGATATGGGTGTTCAGGCTGGGTGGGGCCACACACACGCGCACACACTCTGACAACACATGTGCGCGTGCACACACACAGATATGGGTGTTCAGGCTGGGTGGGACCACACACACGCGCACACACTCTGACAACACGCGTGCGTGCGTGCACACACACACAACAGATATGGGCGTTCAGGCTGGGTGGGGCCACACACACGCACACACACTCTGACAACACGCGTGCGTGCACACACACACACACAGATATGGGTGTTCAGGCTGGGTGGGGCCACACACACGCGCACACACTCTGACAACACGCGTGCGCGTGCACACACACAGATATGGGTGTTCAGGCTGGGTGGGGACCCCCCCACACACATATGGATTGCACCCTGTCATCTTCCTGATTGGGATGCTTTACTGAACTTTTGCAGAATGTTACCACTGGGGGGACCTGGGAAAAGGGTAGAGGGACCTGGAGTATTTCTCACAACTACACGTAAACCTACAATTCCACTGATGTAAAAATTAGGTATGTGCAAGTCAAAGTTTTTCATCCCATTTTCACTGGGGCAGGGCCTGTACCTACTACTATTTATTCAGCAAGTACTCTGTCTCTCTCTTTCATTCTTTCACACACACACACACACACACACAGAAACTGAGGTCCATGAAGTGATCTATGTAAAGTCACAGCAGGTGACTGAGAAAGGTGTCAAAGTTCACGGTCCTCCTGCAACCCCACAGGTCTCTGACACACAGTTATGAAAACACCGTAAGATGCCAACTGGAAAAAAAATAAACCATTCCGAGGGGGGGTGTAAAATTTCAAATTCTGGAAGTCTTCCATGAGAGATACCTAAATGGTTTTATTGGCATTTAAAAAGGGGGAGCATTACAAAGTAATATAGCGTGGTATCATGTATTGAAAAAGAGGGCCCATAAAACAAGCACTTCAAGTATTTCTACATGTACATTTATAAGCATGCAAATGCACACTTTGATATGATCTCGGAGAGCAAATACCAGCTGTTCACAGTCACAGCTGCCCCCTGGCAGTAAGGCTAAGGTGAAGGCAGATCCATGGTCAAGGGGTATCTGGATTTTAACCATCACGTTTCAATTAAGAATACAACCTAATTCAAGTATAACTTGTCTACTTTAAGAAAGGGGAAAAATAAAGCAAACACTTACTGCATTCATAGATCTGTTCCAGTTTATCCACAGAAGAAAGGGAGAAAAATTTATACCCGGATTTACTACCAACAGCTAGAGACCTGCAAAAAAGCCAAATTCAGAAATAAGAGCTGAGACGTGTAGGCAGGAATAATGCACAAACGAGCTCCTCGTTACCAAACTTTCTCCATCATCTCTCCCCAAAACTAGCACACACGGGTTCGTGTAGCTGGTACCAGGTGAGCGGTGGCAGAGGGGAAAAGAGGTGGGGCAAGGAAGACGCCGGATCTCACGGCCAGGAAAAGGCGACGGTCAACAAAGACAGAGAGTGAAACTTTAAAGATAAGTCTGACATAAAAATAAAAGCACTCGACCCTAAACCGACGATCCCCTCAAACACAGTGGGGTTTCTCAGGTGACCCGACACACGTGCGTGGTTGTATGGGGGAGTCCGAAGGTGAAGATAACACTGCAAATTTTAAACAAAGGCATTTACACCCTTGGCGAATGATGGTGTCTCTTGGCACTGCAGTAGGCTATAACGAACGCAGCTCAGTCATGTGATGCTAAGGCTAAGCAGTGGGATGGAAATAAAACAGACCAAAGAGCTAACTCACAGTCTGCAATGGCAAGACCCCATCGCAGGGTTGGGCCAGAAGGACAGCCTTGGTGTAAGAGCCCACGCTCACCACCCAACACACTGCTTTTGCTCAGAGGCTCGGGAGGGCTTCCGAGCTCTGGCTCCAGGTCCCCAGCCTGGCGGAGCTGCTACACGAGGTGAGCTTCGCTCGCAGACTGCTGCCGCCCAGGACTGAGTGACCCAGGCAGCAGAGAGGAGCTGCACGCACGGGTTTCAGAAACACAGAGGGCGGGAGCGCAGAGCGGGACGCGGGGGACGGGCGGACTCAGAGCGGGGCCTGCCTGGTACTCCGTGTCTGGGAGAGCAAGGCAACAAGAGGAAGCAGAAGGTGAACCAGAAGCCCAGAAATAACAGGGCTGACAGCTCACACGGTGAGTGCGTGTGCGCCAAGATAAAACGAGGGCTATCTTCATGACCATTTCATCTGCTAGGAACTTGAGGTTTCCAACCTCTTTCACGCTCAGGTAGAAGAAACACATTCAAAGAACAGACTTGCTATGGACACTATTGAACTTTCAAACTGTAATTGGTTCACCTCAGAGATATAAACAGTAAATCTCTACCAACTCAAATAATTCTTCTCTGCAAAACACTTCACTATATTGAATTAACTAGTAATTAGGTACTGTTACCTATAAATACTTTGAAAAACAATAAAGGAGCCAATAAAAACACAAGAATATTCAGGAAAGCTAAAAATAAAAAAATCTCAGCAGTTCACAACTTCTGGAAAATTGACGTTCAGGAAAATGTTTTCCAGACAACTTAGGGTTACTATTTTAAGCACCCAAGCCTTTTCCCCCAGCATTTCGGATTCTCTTAAAAAGTCATTCTTATACAGGTTTCTGTGTGGGACGGCAAACCCTCAACAGCCGAGTGGACTCGCATCACAGAACAAGTGTGCTGTCAGAGTGAAGTGACCCTCAGAGCCTGACGGGAGCTGAGGGTTTGGGCGGCGGACGGTTGCGCTGGGCGACACACCACCTTTCACCTCTTCCAGTACTGCTTTCCAGGCACCCTACCGGCATTAACAGGCCCTCCTGCAAATTTCTTGTTGACCTGGAAAGCAAGTCACCAAGCTTCATAGTTTTATATGTAAAATAAGCCCAGGGGGCTTCTCCTATGGGCAAACTTAACCAAACAGAATTAGTGAATGAGAACCTGGCTTTTTATATCCCCAGGGCCTTGCCTATGCTCCAAATGGCAGGATTTGTTAAAACTGATCAAATACTCGCTCTCTGACATTCTTCCAGATGCTCAGAAAGGGGTTTAGGGCACTAAACACCTTCGCTAGTTTTCACTGCATGGCTTCCCACTTGTGAAGCCCAAATCAGTGGGGCTGTAAACAAAAATACACCACCTGTTTTTGATAGGTGCGTGTGGTACAGCGTGAGCATACACTTTACCAATAAAGGCAGACACTTTTAAAGGATGGCATGGAATAGAAACAGGTGTGACATTTACATCTCGGATACCAGCAGTCAGGTTCACGGACCTGACTTTGTGGAGATCCTGCTCTTAACAACACCTCTGAAGGCAGCGTGGGACAGGTATGGTAACAGACAAGCATGAGAGCTCCCTGACAACTAATCTCATTCCCCAGTAAGTGTTGCTGCAGTCAAGTTTTTGTTTTGTTTCTTAAGGTAATACAATGAGATCTTTTACCGACAAGGGAAAACCAGCGATAACAGAAAAAAGGATACATTTACTTAACGCCCCATTTCACTACCACACCCCTGCCTTCACCTGTGCCTGGTGTCAACATCCGGAGACCCTACGGTACCCTCTGGAGATAAGGCCCAGTCCTTCACCTTTGGGGGCAGGAGACTGCTTCCGAGACACACTTTGGGCCAGCACTCTGGATCTTCGCCACACAAAACTTCCCTCCACCGCAGAGCTTCCTAGACCACCCGACCTGAGCCTCTGGGGGTTCTGCGGGTTCAGGTAGGCTGGTTCTCTGCCTTTCCCACCAGTGATGGAGAAGCTACTTCCTTTATCCCTTGCTGGTTTCCAAAATTTTGTTGCTGGTGCCTTTCTTTCTCATTCTCCTCATTCCATGGGCTTAAGCCTCTTTAAGTATCTTTTTTTGGTATTTTACTGATTGCCATTCTATCACGGTTCTGAGCGGGAGCCAAAATTAATACTTCAATATCCTCCCTAGTGACTGCCCTGGATCCTCAAAACGCCCTCCACACGTGGGCAGAACCACCAAGAACTTCAAGGTCAAAGGGTCCTTACTCCCATGCCCCTGGACCTACTGATGAGGGGAAAGGAGAGAAGTGGCCTTCCAGGACAGCTGATATAACCTAGAAGCACCCCGGTCCAAGGGAGCAAAAAACTCAGACCAATGCCTCCCTACGGCCTCTGTGCCCGTAACTTAGACACGAACAGCATCAATGCTACAGACGGAAGATAAGGGAAGTCAAGTCTGTGTCCTTCTATTTCTTTGAGGAATGTGGTTTCTAAACGATTCGGCCACTGCCCAACCACTGAGTCTGCACATGCTTCATGGGGTCCCCGGCAAGTGCTTAGTCCCTGATATTTCCATTGAAGAGCCAAGCGATACTCCACACCTATTAGTTTCTTAATTTTGATGTCAAAAAAACAAAAACTCCTCCAAAACAAGCCTTCCAAAGGGTTACTTTCAGAAACCAGGGTTGGAACTAACCAGACAAGAAGTGGGAGATGACAGGGACCAGCTTCTCTTAATGCCTTCCCCCTAGTTCTAGTTAAAAAAAAAAAGAAGGTAAAATAAAATAAAACATCCAGACTTTTAGGATAAAAATCACAGGAAAAAGAAAAACAAAACCCTTACAATATTTGAAACCATATTACTACCGCAGACAGGACAGATACAGTTTCATATGAAAGGAACATTGCTGTTCAGCATTACTGTATAACACACAATATATTTTCTATTAAGTGAAGTGGTTCCAGATTTTCTTACTGAATACCATGAATGTGGATCCAGTAATCCTTGCCTTCTGAAAAATTACTGGACGTAATTACATAATAACGTAAATACTGGAGACGGGGCAAGGGAGGGAAAGGCGTGAATAGTCCAGCCTCTCCCCAGGTGTACACTGACAACAAATTAGTCACTTTAATCAATAAACTCTTAGTGTAATCCTAGCTTACTATTCCTTATAATTTCTGCTCATACTCTATCAAGGTCTCTTTGGCAACTCAAAATTATGATGCAGCAATCTGGTCTTGAACTAGTAACTTTAGGACTCACAGAGGAGTGGGAAAAACACATAATTTCTAAGCACAAAAAGATCTTATTTCAGGTCAGAGTGACATTCTTCTATTATGTAGGGAAATTGGTGTTTGAATGCCACTTGAAATGACAGCAAAAGAGAATGCTTTCTCATATCTGATTTCCTTTCAATATAAATGGTGAGCAGTGAAAAACAGGAAGAACAGTAGAAAATATTCGGGAGATTCTCTAATTTATACAAGACATAAAAAACCATAAAGCTACCATTCTTACTGGTCTCAAAATACTAAGGGCTTAAAAACGGAATCATCATTGGTTTGAACTGCCCTCTTCCCTACCAAGATTAGTATAACATAGTTCTCAGTCACAACCCCCTGCAACAGGTGGTCCAGACTGCTTTCCCTGGAGTGGCTTTTGGTCATCATGCTAACCCTTCGCCTTTCTCATCTCTAAAGATCGCTACAGTCTGCTTTCTGTGTTCACCGTCCTCCATACCCTACTCTGCAGGTACAAACAACAGCAGGGTGGGTTGGAAAGGAGGCTGGAAGAGAACTCAGGAAAGCTGCCCCCACCCCACTATTAACGGAGTCTAGACCCAGGCTCTGCTCCGAAGTTCCTGAACTTCCGTTTCCTCCTCTGAAGTTGGCACAGGTGATCTGCTCCCTTCGAAGCCTCATCCGAATCCCACCGTGGGGGGCTCTGCACTATTTTCCCAACTCTGGAAGGTGTGACTGAGCACCCTCTGCATGCCACTGACTTGGTGCCTTGCCATTCTACAAATGACCTTTCTTTTGCTGATTCCATTGAGCCAGGAACAACTCAACCTACTACTTAGTATGAAGCCAACGACCCACTCCTCCCCTCTTACATCACTTCCTCTTACTCACTTCCCAAGATGGCTCTCCTCCCTTCCAGTCCCACTCATCCTTCCTTCTCCAGAAACCTCCTCTAATAACTATCCTCATACATTCCCCCAGGAGACAGCTCTGAAGAATCGGCTTCAAACCCGTCAGGGTCTGGACAAACAGCGTGAGGTGAGGAACCAGAGGTTGGCATCAAGGGCCTCTCTTCCCGTACGAGGATGGCCCATTCCCCGAGGCTCCAGGACTCCTCAGGGGTTTCTCTGGTACAGCCCTCCCCTTGGCTAGTTTCTCCCCGGGTCAGAGACCAGAATTACTGCTAAGTTTGTTTCTTGCTCGAGGAGGACATCAAGGTTTCCTGTCAAAAAGAACAGCAAGACAGGAAGAAAAGGAAATCGAGGAGTTCCCTTAAGACGAGGAGGAGATGAGAAGAGCCTGGAAGAGCGGAAAGAGTGGGGCTAGAAGGCCGACGAA